AGATAGTTGGAGATCAGTTCGGTGGGGCAGGAGCAGGCGGAGACAATGGGTCGACCAGGGCATTCAGGTTTGTGGATTTTGGGAAGGAGATAGAAGCGGGCAGTGCGAGGTTGGGGAACGATGAGGTTGGAGGCCGTGGGTGGGAGGTCACCTGAGGTGATGAGGTTGTGGATGGTTTGCGAGATGATGGTTTGGTGCTCAGGGGTGGGGTCATGATCAAGGGGGCGGTAGGAGGAGGTGTCGGAGAGTTGGCGTCCGGCCTCGGCGATGTAGAGGTCAGTGCGCCATACTACAACTGCGCCTCCCTTGTCCGCGGGTTTTATGGCGAGGTTGGGATTGGAGCAGAGGGAGCGGAGGGCTGCACGTTCTGCGGGGGAGAGGTTGGAGTGGGTGAGAGGGGTGGAGAGGTTGAGGCGATTGATGTCTCGACGGCAGTTGGAGATGAAGAGGTCGAGGGAGGGTAGGAGGCCTTGGGGTGGTGTCCAGGAGGAGGGGGTGTGTTGGAAGCAGGAGAAGGGGTCAGTAGAGGGAGGGTTAGGTTCACGGTTAAAGAAGTAAGCGCGGAGGCGGAGGCGGCGGAAAAACTGCTCTATGTCCAAGCGTGAGCGGTATTCGTTGATCTGTGGGTGGAGGGGGACAAAGGTGAGCCCTTTACTGAGGACTGACCGTTCGTCCTCAGTAAGGGGTAGGTCTGGGGGGATGGTGAAGATTCGGCAGGGCTGGGTGCTGCTGTCTCCTCTGGAGGTGCTGGCTGTGGAGGCTGTGGGCGGAGCTGTGTCGGCGTCGGCTGTGGGCGGAGCTGCGTCGGCGGTGGGCGGAGTTGTGCCGGTGTCGGCGGTGGGCGGAGTTGCTGAAGATGAGATGTTGTTCGTTCAGTTTGCGCTGTGATTCACTGGAGTACTGCAGCATGCCTAGGACAGACACGTGGGCATGTGGGCTTGGATGGTGAGCGGGGAGGAAGTGAAGGGGCAGGTGTTGCAGCTTATGCGGTTACATGGGAAGGTGCCGTGGAGAAGTGGGGGAGTGGTGTTGATGGTTGTGGAATGGACTAGGATGCCCCAGAGGGAACAATCCCTGTGAAATGCAGATGGGGGAGTGAGGGGAAGATGTGTTTGGTGGTGATGTTCTGCTGGAGTTGTCTGAAATGGCAGAGAATGATCCTTTGAATGCAGGTGCTGGTGGGATGAAAAGTGAGGTCAAGGAGGACCTGATCACGCTGTTGTGAGAGATAGGAAGGGGCAAGGGCGGAAGCACGGGTGATAGGTTGGATGTGTCAACCACAGTGGGTGGGAAACCATGGTCTGTCTAAGTCTTATTGATCTGTACATCCTTGCTCAATGCGTAAGCCTGCACTGCTCATAAACAAAGCTTTTCACTGTACTTCAGTACACATCACAATCGATCAATCAGTCAGAGAAGCAAGCCAAGTCAGCAGTGTTGGTTTGGAAGGTGGCATCATCGGAAAAAATGTGATGTAGGTGAAGGAACTGGGAGGATGGGATGGAGTCCTTGCAGGACATGGGGTGTCACGTGGGGTATGGTTTATAGGAAGTGGAGTAGTAACGTGGCAGCTAACCATGGTTAAGGAGCAGTTAAATGCTGACCTCTAGTGGCTATGTATGTCATGCTAAGGTACTCCAAAAAATTGGTAAGCAGAAGCCAATCCAAGGGCTGAGGTATGGCAAATGATTCTTTCCATTTCTATGAACTGTTCCGGTTGTAAATAGTATAAATGTTTTCATTGCAGGAATATCTGATGTGAAGTGGGATGAATATTGTGCTTTGACTATGTTGGACTGTCACTTTGAGTACAACCATGGGGCCTCCATTACAATATTATCTGCCATTGGAGGGAAAAACCACAGTCTAAGCACACTGCTTTGTTGAGTAAGTATCGCCTTAACTAAAGCTCATACTGTTGTTAAACACCTCAGCCTCCTATCCTTCTTGAAACATAACAGTAATAAGCTGCCTTCTTGAACTCCTGTAGTCCATGTGCTGTTGGTAAACGCACAATGCTATTTGGGAGGGAATTCCAGGATTTTGACCCAGCGACAGTGAAGGATCAGCGACATATATCCAAGTCAGGATGGTGAGTTGCTTGGAGGGAACTTGAAGGGGGTGATGTTCCCATGTATCTGCTGCTCTTGTACTTGTAGATGGAAGTGGTCTTGGGTTTGAAAGGTGTTAAAGATCTCTGGTGAATTTGTGCAGTGCATCTTGTGGATAGTACACACTGCTGCTGCTATGCATCATTGGTGGAAGGCATGGGAATTTGTGGATGTGATGCCAATCAAGTGGGCTGCTTTGTCCTGGATGGTGTTAAGCTTCTTGAATGTTGTTGGAGCTGTATCTATCCAGGCGAGTGGGGAGTATTCCATTCACACTCCTGATGTGTGCCTTGTAGATGGTGGTCAGGCTTTGAGGAGTCAGAAGGTGAATTGCTGCTGCAGGATTCCCAGCTTTTGACCTGCTCTTGTAGCCGCTGTGTTGATGTGGTGAGTCCAATTCAGTTTCTGGTCAATGGTAACCCCCAGGATGTTGATATAAGTTTGAGTTTAAATCTTTGACCTCCTTCTGCAACATAATCTGAGTAAATGTCCTCTGCACGTTCTCCATGGTTTTGGTACCTTCCTAAATTAAATTACATTCCGTCTCCTAACCAGTACCAATTGCAAATTTATTAATACAAAATTATCCAACTATAAAATCTTAGATATAGCAAGTTTTGTTTTTATAACAAAATGCTAGAAACCTGTCCCTCCATTTGAAAGAGAAATATTATATATTTTGAATTGTTTTACACATTTTCAAGTGTTTACAGTGCCAGTCAGGTTGAATAGAAACAGTCCTATTCTCAGACTCTGTTTAGGTTCTGGCCTGACAGCTACAGATCAGTCTCAACACTGAAGTATGCTCCAGAGCCACTAGATGGTGATCCCGCACCATGTGTACATTCAGATCTTATTTTGTTCTGGAACATCAGTTGGCAGAAAATAAGATTCAATCTCTCCTCATATGACAACGCTGCCACTCTGGCAGGTATCTGGTGAACTTTCATTGCATTCCATCTGTGGCAAGAATATATCTTCCTTGGTAAGGAGATCAACACTGCATATGATATACAGGTGTGGTCTAACCAAGATCCTGTTTAGCTTAGGCAAGACTTTCCTTCCTCCTGGACTCAAACCCTCCTGCAATGAAGGCTAACATACCATTTACCTTCCTATCTGCTTAATTTCTATGAGCAGTGTACAGAGATACCCACATCCCCTTGTACATCAACCTTTCCCAGTCTATCACCATTTAAAAAATGCTCTGCTGTTCTGTTTTTCCTACTAAGATGGACAGCTTCACATTTGTTCACATTATGCTGTGTTTGCCTACTCACTCAACTTGTCTAAGTCACCCTGCAACATCCTTACTTGCTTCTTGCCACTCACCCTCCCATTTACTTTTGTACCTTCAGCAAATGTGGAAATATTACACTTGATTCCCTCATCCAGAGCATTCATAAATATTGTGAAGAGCTGATGCCCAAGCTAATCACTGTAGTACTCCACTTGTCTCTGCCTTCCAGTTCAAACAAAAGACCCATTTTCTATCTGCTAACCAATCCTCAGTCTATGTCAGTATATTCTCACCAATCCTACATGCTCTGATTTTGCTCAAAAACCTCTTGTGTAAAAACATGATCAAAAACTACCTGAAAATCCAAATACACTACATCCACTAGTTCTCCCCTTTCTCCCATTCTCAAAAACCTTGTTGGTTTGACAAACACACTTTCCCTTCCATCAAATGATATTGATCTTGTGTCATATTGTTGCTGTATTCATTACATCCTTCACTATACACTCCAGATTTTTGCCTGCTGCTGATGTTAGACTAGCCAGTCTGTAGCACAGATTTGCTTCCTCCTTTTTTAAGAAGCAGGACTATGTTTGCCACCCTCCTATCTACCAAAGCTTTTGCAGAATCTATAGAATTTTGGGACATGACAACCAATGCACCCACTATTTCCATGACCATCTCCTTTTGTACTTTTGGATGTAGATGTAGGCCCTGGGGGTTTTTCAGTCCCAATAATTTCTCCAGCACTTTTTTTTTGTTATTACTAACTTCCTTCAATTCCTGGGGTCTAACCAGAACTGTTTAAATGCTCAGCTAAGCCTCTCAGATTTTTGCACTCAATGCCTCTGTTTACAAAAGCCAAGATCCCATTTGCTTTACTAGCCACTCTTTCACTATATCCTGCCACCTACAAACATTGATGTACATGCACCTCCAGTTCCCCCTGTCCCTGAAGACAATTTAGATTTGCAGCATTAAAACTATATTGGATAAAAGAGCTGAATTCACGAATGAGGTGAGAGTGAATAGCAAGGCCACATTTGATAGAGTGTTGCATCAAGGAGCCCCAGCAAAAGTGGAGTCAATAGGAATCAGGGGAACACTCTCTACTTTCGTATCGGGCACAAAAGAAGATAATTCTGGTTGCTGGAGGTCAGTCAGCACAGCTCCAGGATATCTCTGCAAGAGTTCCTCAGGATAGTGTCCTAGACAAACCATCTTCAGTTGTTCTGTAAATGACCTTCCCTCCATGATAAGGTCAGAATTGGGGATATTCGCTGATGATTGCACAATATTCAGCACCATTCACAACTCCTCAGATAGTGAAGAAGTCTGTGTCCAAATGCAGCAAGACCTGTACAATATCCAGGCTTGGAATGACAAGCAGAAAGCAACATTTGCACCACATAAGTGACCACCTCCAGCAAAACGGAATTTAGTCACCGGCCATGAAATTACCATCACAGAATCCCTCACTATCAACACCTTGGAGGGTATGATTCCGCCAGCCTACATCCAGTTGCAGTAGATTCATATCATCCTGACCATTTACCATTCTTGCAAGTTTGGTACCATTGGAAAACAGACTAAAATATCAACATTTACCAATGTCCAAGTTGTTTATATACAAGGTAAAGACTCTGATCTTAGCATGAGGACATCACTAGTCTCCAGTCTGAAAAATAACCAGTTACCACTTTTTTAAAATCTAAGCCCTCCTGTTCCACTATTCACCATCAGAGTCAACATTTCAGGTCTGGTGACCCTTCCTCAGAACTGATGGTAGCTAGGAAATTGTCAGTTTATATGTAGAAGATAGGGTGGGGTAGGGGGTAAGGAGTAATTGATAGGTAGAGATAGAGCCCAAAGAGAGAAAAGAACAGTTGGGTAGACAAAGTAGTTGATAACAACCTGGCTAGGAGGGTGAATAGCTGTTAATGGAGGCTATTAGTGACTAACAGTAGATAGTGAGTAATGGCAGACTGTGTGATAACAAGGTCTGGTGTGTGGGGTAGGGAACCAGGGCATGGCAGAGTTTAGGTCTTAAAAGTATTGAACTTGATATTGAGACTGGAGGGCTGCAGGGTCCCCAGATGGAAAATGAGGTGTTGTTCTTCCAGCTTACACTGAGCTTTGCTGGAACACTGCAGCAAGCCTGAGACAGATGTTAGCCAGGGAACAGGGTAATGTGTTAAATTGGCACGCAGAATGCAGATGTTCTGCGAAGCGGTCACCCAGTCTTCGCTTCGTTTCCCCAACGTAGAGGAGACCACATTGTGAGCAGCGAATGCAGTAGACCAGATTCTGGGAAGTGCCGGTGAAGTGTTGCTTCACCTGGAAGGTATGTTTGGGCCCTTGGATATTGGGGAGGGAGGAGGTAAATGGGCAGGTGTTACACCTTTGGTGGTTGTTGGGGAAGGTGCCGTGAGGCTGTTGGTGGGGTGGGGGGCAGTGTTGGGGGTGAAGTAAGAGTAGACCAGAGTATCCCAGAGGGAACAGTCCCTGCAGAAAGTGGATAAAGGAGGGGAGGGGAAGATGTGTCTGGTAGTGGCATCTTGCTGGAGGTCTGATGATCTTCTGGATGTGGCTGCTGTTGGGATGGTAGGTAAGGACAAGTGTGGCAACCAGAAATGCACACAGTATTCCATATGCCGCCTAACTAAAGTGGTGTACAGCTGACGCCCCAGCCAATGGAGGCAAGCATGTTGTGTGCCTTCTTAACCACCTTATCCACCTGTGTTACCATTTTCAGAGGTATGCACCTGTACGTCCAGGTCCCTCTGTATGTCAATGCTCCTAAGGGTTCTGCCACTTATTATATAATTCGCACCTGAATTTGATTTTCCAAAATGCATTACCTTGCATTTGTCCGGATTAAACTCCATCTGCCATTTCTCTGCGCAAATCTGCAATCTATTTATATCTCACTGTATCCTTTGACAATCTTCCTCACTATCTGCATCTCTGCCTATATTGGTGTCATTTGTAAACTTACTAATCAGACTACCTACATTTTCCTCCAGATCATTTATATATATTATAAACAACAAAGGTTCCAGCACTGATCCCTATGGAACATGGGGGAGTTTAGGCCCTAGTTAATGATCTCCATTCTGAAAACCATCCTTCCACCCTTACTCTCTATGACCAAGCCAGTTCTGTATCCATCTCGCCAGATCACCCAGAACCCCATGAGATTTTACCTTCTGCACCAGCCTGCCATGAGGTACCTTATTAAATGCCTTACTAAAGTCCATGCAAACAACATCCACTGCCCTTCCCTCATCAATCATTCTTATCACCTCCTCATGACCTTCCCTGCACAAACCCATGCTGCCTATCATTAAAGTCCATTCGCTTCCAAATGTGAATAAATCCTGTCTCTTATTATCTTCTCCAACAGCTTCTGCACCATTGACATCAGGCTTACCGGCCTGTAATTACCTGGACTATCGCAGTTCCCCTTCTTAAACATAGGAACAACATTGGCAATTGCCCAGTCCTCTGGAGCCTCACTGTGGCCAAAGAGGATGCAAAATTATCTGTTAAGGCCCCAGCTATTTTCTCCCTTGCCTCCCTCAGTATCCTGGGATAGATCCCATCTGGCCCTGGGTACTTGTCTACCTTAATGCATTTCAAGACACCCAACACTTCCTCCTTCATTGTGTTTGCACAAGAGTATTGACACACTTTTCCCTAACTTCAACATCCTTCACATTCCTCTCTTTGGTGAATACCAATGTACTCATTAAGGATCTTCACCTATTTCCTCTGGCTCCACACATAATCTCCCTCCTTTATCCTTGAGTGGGTCTACTCTTTCCCTAGCTACCCTCTTGCTCCTAACATATGTATAAAATGTCTCCAGATTCTCCTTAACCCTGCTGGCCAAGGACATTTCATAGTCTCTTTTAGTCCTCCCAACTCCTCATTTGAGCTCCTTTCTACTTTCTGTTTATTTTTCAAGGACTTTTTCTGCTTTTAGTCACCTAGACCTTGGGGTTTGCCACATTTTTTTACTAATTTCTCCTGTCATCCAAGTTTCCCGTATCCTGCCATTCCTGTCCTTCATTTTCACAGGCACATGCCTGTCTTGCACTCTAATCAACTGGTCTTTAAAAGATTCCCACGTCAGATGTGGATTTACCATAAAACAGCCAATCCCATTCTCCAATTAGAGACAAAAAAAACTGCAGATGCTGGAATCCAAGACAGACAAACAGGAGGCTAGAAGAGCATAGCAAGCCAGGGAGCATGTGGAGGAAAGGAGCAGTCAACGTTTCAGGTATTACCCTTCTTCTGGATATTCTCCAATTCTTGTCTACAATGTATTTCTTCCTTTCTCTCCCAGTGGCAGCTGGAGGCCTGTAGAACCATCCCAGTGTTGTGACTGCACCCTTCCTATTCCTGAGCTCTACCTATAATGCCTCGCTGCAAGATCCCTCTAGGGTGTCCCCTCTGAACAAAACTGTGACATGTTCCCTAACCAGTAATGCAATTCTCCCAGCTCTTTTGTTTCCTTTCTAAAACATCAACACCCCAGAATGTTAAACTGCTAATCCAGTCCCTTTTCAACCATGTTGCTGTGATAGCATTGTCACAATTGCATGCATTAATCCAGGCTGTAAGTTCATCTGTTTTACCTCTTATTCTTGAAGCAAATACAATCAAAGCCTCCAGTTCCACTGAGCTGTCCCTGACTTCTCTTCCTCTTAGTTATATCTGCCTTACATTCGGGCTCCAATCCTCTGACACCCCCATTGAGCGTTAGATGATGATAATCTTGTCCACTATCTCAACTCGCATTCCCTTTAAGAACTTGGGATGCAAAGCCAGGTGACTCATCCATTCAGCTTCATCTGACATCCATCAGAGCCCTCCCTTTTGTTTCCTCATACTCTCATGCGGTGCATTATAGTTGGTAAGGTGGACCGTACATTTTTGATATGGTCACAGTTTTCTAGGTATTGCAATGGAATTTACACCAAGAAGAATCAACAAAAATCAGAGGCAGAGATACAGTACAGCTTTAGACGTTGTAAGCACAGTAAGGTTCCTCAAGATTCACCAGACTGATTCCCAGGATGGCAAGACTGATATATTGGGAAAGACTGGATTGACTGGGCTTGTATTTGCTGGAATTTAGAAGAATAAGAGGATCTCATAGAAACATACAAAATCCTGATGGGAATGGACAAGATAGATAAAGGAATAATGTTCCTGATGTTGGGAAGTCCAGAACCTCGGGGGTGGTCACAGTCTAAGAATAAGGGGCAGGCCATTCGGGACTGAGATGAGGAAGAATTTCTTCACTCAGAGAGTTGTGAACCTGTGGAATTCTCTCCCACAGGAAGCTGTTGGGGCCAGTTCATTAGATATATCCAAGAGGGAGCTGGGCATGGCCTTTGTGGCTAAAGGGATCAGGGGGTATGGCGAGAGGGTGGGAATGGGATACTGAGATTGCATTGTCAGCCATGATTGTATTGAGCGGTGGTGCAGGCTCAAAGGGCCTATTCCTGCACTGATTTTCTATGTTTCAAACATTAGTGAGCTGTATAACCAGACAATCTGGTTTGTGGTGTGACTGATGAGAGTTTAATGTTGGCCAGGATGTTGAGAAACCTGCCCTGATATTTTATAGTTTATCAGGCGAACACAGATAGGCTTTGGATTTATTTTTGTACCAGAAGACAATCACTGACCATGCAGATCTCTCTCAGCATGACACTGTAATGCATTGAGTGGGATTTGAATCCACCACTTACTTATTTGGAGACAATAGTGCTCCCTTCTGTAATAGAGGGGAGTCACTGGAGGTTATGATATTATAATTATTACCTTAATAAAAGCAAGGGCTGCAGATTCTAGTGAATTGAAAGAAAAACAAAGTGCTGGAGAAACTCTGTGGAAAGAGAAACAGAGTTAATGTCTCATCATATTGATGTTAACCCTGCTCAGCTCTTCACACATGCTGCCAGACCTGCCGAGATCCTCCAGCATTTTTTTTATAATTACCGCCTGACAGTTCCATAATACCATCACCATCTATGTATCAACTGAGCCAGGTCAAACCTCTAAAAGTCTACCCACCTTGAACCACAATATTGCAAAGACTGCTCCATAAACTTGCAACAATAATTAATCAGAAGAAAGAGACAAGACTACAGGAATTGTGATTGTCTCATAAAAAGATTTATTACTTTTTTTGCCTAAATGCACAAGGCAAGGTACAGTACTGTATAAAAAAGAACTCCTTAATATACACTTTACATGAGATACACTAGTAAGAGCTTTCAGTTGACTTATCAGGAAACCAATCCAACGCAGCAACAAAAATAATATGTTGTAAACGTCTACACTTCAAGTACCAGTGAGGCTCCGTCAGTCTGACGCACAGCTACATTCACAGGGAGGGAGGGGTGGGGTTTGAAATCGGGGTCAGGAAACTATAGAACAGTACAGAGCAAATGAAATACAAGAACAGCAAGGTTTCCCCTGGGTGGTGACTGGTGAAGACGGAGGGGAGTGGGTCAGTGTACCACAGCCTTACACGAAGCATGGATTCAAATCTAATCCAGTGATGGTCTGAGTGAAACCGGGACAGGTCCCTTCACTTGGACGCAAACCCTTGTATCAATTCTAGCCAAGGAACGTGCCTCCCCTCACCACAGGGCAGCAAGAAATCCTCCTGGAACTGGATGTGTGTGTAAATGTCTGCTTGTGGTATCTCTCTCCTACTTTGTCTGTTGTGACATTCGAGGCAATGTTGGAATTCACTGAGATATTTGTGGTATCCAGCGTGGAGCAAAGTAATGTCAATGTGACCTTTTGGTCCCAAAACAACAATTTTGTCTTTTTGATACCAACAGGCCAGTCAGCTGTGCAAATGGACAGGAAGAGCGGAAACAGACTGCAAAGCAGGACCCTACAGACACCGCCTGAAGAAGACTTTTAATTAGGCCAGACTGCAGGTCATGTCTGTTCTAAACAGGGTCGAATTCAGAAGGAGGTTTCCAAATATTTGACAGACCATTCAGCAAGTTGGAGTATTTGTCCGTTGTCACGCTGAAAAGTTTAAGAATCCCTTTTTGTTACAGGAACTATTTCTTGTGCTAGATTGACTGGAGGTGCCCCCCGGCAACCCAGGGTTGAATCCCTGAACACCAGCAGCTGGGGGAATTCTCAGAGTGTCTGAGCCAGCCCCCTGACCAGACAATGCTAGACAGCCCTGCTCTCCTGGCTGGGAGATATCACTCAGCTGGAAACCTCTCACCTGACAGGAAGAACTGACAACAGCATTGCTAGCCTCCCAGCTGAGAGGGGCAGCACAGGAGGGGAGACTGGGCAAAAACAAAAAGAAAGCAGATCATGAGGGCATGTGAGCAAGTATATCTGAAGGCCCCAGTCTGCCCATGTATCCCTCAATCTTTCACAAAACAAGACAAAGTTGGTCATTCACTAACTCCAGCTTGTTCAATTATCAGTCACATCACTCCCTGACCAGATGAGAAGTGAACTCAAAAAACTCAGCCGTGATGCGAGCCACTTTACCCAGCCCAAAAAACATTTTGTGCTGTTTCTGCACAGATCGTGGATTGAGCTCGGAAGATTTGCTGATGTTGAGTTGCTCCTTGTTCTGCAGCAGAAAGGATGCAATGTGTAAGAGGCAGTTTGTGTTTTCCCCACTGTGGCCAATGTTTATCCGGATGCAGAAAATCACAAGCAGCAGTGCAGAGATTTATCTCTTTGTGACCGGCCTGATGGGGGAGACAGAGCACAAAGGAAACAGGAGCAGGAGGCCATTCAGCCCTTCAAGCCTGTACCACCTTACATTCAGATCATCGTTGATCTTCTAGCTTGTACTATCCCTTAATATCATTAGTATCTAGAAATGAAGCAGTCTTGAACTGAGCTTCCACAATCCTCTAGGATAGATAATTCCAAATATTCACTACACTCAGAGAAGAAATTTTTTATCTCAGTCCAAAATGGTCTCCCCTTACTCTGAGGCTGTATCTCCTGGCTCTAGACACCACAGCCAGGGAAAATATCCTTTCTACAACTACATTGCCAATCTGAGTATTTTATAAGTTTCTATGAGGTCATTTCTAAACATCAGGAAATGCAAGCCCAGTCTGCTCAATCTTTCCCCATAGGACGACTCCGCTCTCCCAGAAATCAGGCTGGTGATCATTCCCCACACGCCCTCTATAGTAGGTATTTCCATGGTTAAGGAGACCGAAACCACCAAACTGCTTTTTTGGTGGGCTAAAGGGCCTGTTCCTGTGCTGTACAATACTCCAGGGGCAGAGGGGTGCTGACGGACAGTGGGGAGCAGAAACTGAGAGAATGGCGAGTTTGTGGAAATGTGATTTTCGGAACCAGAGCTTCACAATAAGTGCAGTGGAAAAGACTTGATGCAACAGGCTGATACTTGGCACGGGGATCAGGATCAGGAACTAGTTGGGAATTCTGTCCACTGAAAAAGTGTAAAAGACACTGGTTATTTTGTACAGTCAGAATGAGGAAGGTGCAGTCAGGCACAGTGGAGGCTTTTGCAATGGGAAGCAAATCATACATCAGTATTAAAACAAACTCCACATTTTGAAGAGGAAGGATTCTGTGGGGCCCACTAACACCGTAGAATTCACCAGCACCTAACAGCAGGGTTCAAGATGATAAAAGATCACATAATTAGGATTTTGGAAACAACTTCACCAACAAAAAAACTCTGGAAATCAAAATCTAGGACTTTTCTTTAAAAAGAACATTTTACAATAGTTTCTCTGTACAATATTTACAGCAAACAGCACCGGGCAGCAGTAACGAGGTGGTTACATTACACACTGAGTAGACAGGAGGGTGAAAATGAACTCTGGAAACAGAGGGGGAGAGAGGATGCCTCATAGGACCCTGAAAACAAATGGCTGCGAGAATGCATAAAATCGATGACACAAAGAGAGAGGGAGAAACATCAAGAACCCATCCAATAACAGTAAAAACATGTTGCTTTTTTTTTTACAGCGTAACAGTATTTTTTTAAAAGACCTTTGTTGACCATTCTAACTCTCTATTACAAGGTGATGAAGCAGATTAGATTGTGACATCCCTTTAGGTGCACTGTGACACCTTGGCAGGGTTTATTATATCCTGACTTGAGCCAATCCAAACAGAGTCCTGCAAGGACTGGGGCACTCCTTTTGAAGACAAACTCACTTCCCATTACTTTGCTGAGTGAATGAGAAAATGGAACCCCAATACTGAAACATTTGCCAGCATTTTAACAATAAACTCTGCCTCCAAAACTTAATTCTTGTTTATTTGGAAACCATAATTAAAAGGTTAGCCCCCTCCTCACAGCCAAACGACAGGTGCTACTCCAAGGTAGCAGTGCGAGATGTAGTGAGCAGAGGGGTACAGCCTATCAGCTGATGGGAGGTCACTGCTTTCTCAGGCATAGGATTCAAACACCAACACAGAGCCCGCACTGATCAAAGGTCGCCCAAACACTGTGTTATCTCTTAATTATTTCATGCTAGGGTTACCGTGCCCTCACCCCAACTCTATTATTCACAGAAGACAGAGCAGCAATAATCTGTGCCAGGTATTTTGGTTGAAAGGTGCAATAATTGCCAAAACATTATTCCCATTAAACTATAACCTCAAGCTTGAGAACAGCTTTAAGAATTCAGAAGCTAGACAATTAAGAAATCTGTGCCCAATATTCTAACAGCAAATACAGGTTGTTAAAGTGAAGAAATAGTTGGTGCAGTGATGAGGATCTACCCTGGGTGTCTCTAGCAAGCTCTGCAAAGGCAGGTAAGGTTGAGACCTAGTTGCAAAACATTAGTGTGTTTTTTGCAGGCTGGTTAATCAGACCATTGGCCCTCACCCACTGGGATGGTCTAATCTACAACTTCTCACATTGTCATTAGATTTGGGGCAGGTATGTGCGTGCAGGATTTGTGCATGTTATCTGTATGCGTTTCTGTATTTGTGCTTGTGCATGTCTTACACGACAACCACAGTCTGAACAGAGGAAACATCTTTCAGATTTCAAACGCGCCTGAAGTTGTCAAAGGACCACAGAACACTGAGTATGCGTCACGCTAGATTCCAATCGAGGAGTTGAAGGGATTTATATACAGAATGGCTGAAAACTGCTTCCTGGAAGGGAAAATGAACTGATATGTATGCTTTGTGTGAATCTTACATACAGTAAGTGCCTTGACATCATTTGCGCTTGTTGCCCCAGCTTTATAAAAGATGCTATTTACATTTCCCAAGGGTTCAGGCTGCTAATTCTTGCTGCAGATCTGGGACTGATTAATTAAAGGTAAAATCTGTGTTCTGACACACTAACACTCAATACAAAGTCTCCAAACAAAAAAAAAATAACCATCGGGTGAAACTGGCAGAATCATCTTTAAGCCTTAGTTTTAAAGGTGATTGGAATGACCTCAATGCTGTGCTTCCCCAGACGCGTTCTGAATTGTACCCCAACACCTTTCAATTGTTGCGAGGAGAAACTGACGCAGTGCCCTAGTGCGGAGGGATATGGAAGCCTCATTTATACTACAGCTCCCAACCAGAAACCTGTCTAGTTGAACAGTTTCCATTTCCACAGTTTGATTCTAAATGTTATCTGCTAATCCCTCTAATATGGATTCGATAGCTGGTCGTAGTACACAATATATATTTAGAGAATGTAGAATTACCATTAGCAGTGATGTACCATTAGCAGACGTGCTTCAGGACCTTTCAGTTTGACGGAATGGTCAGCAATCCAGACCTCAGCCAGCTGGAACCCTCCTCCAGTTACTTTCCATGAGCAATGAGGTTGGCCAGTCTCAATCACACATCAGTTAGACAAGGCTGACTGCTCAAAACCACTCAGATTCCAGTATGTGGCAGTAATGGCAGAGAGACCAATGGACGCTGCTGACGGCTAATGGGAGAAAGTGCCATTCTGGTGGTAGGGGCTGCATGCTCCTCTAGGGTTGGAGCAGAACTGAAAATGGAGAAGCTTTGCTGTTGGCTGTTGCACAGCTGACTATATCAGTTGCCTGAAAAAGGGGAAGTTTCCACTCCCCAGCCCAAAACAACTTCTCACTTTGAGGAATACAAGAAAAGATTAAGTGTAGACAGAACTTGGACAGCTGTGTTTGCTTTGCCTCAACATTTGAATCAACTCCAGGCAGACTTTTAAAGTGACCAGAAGTTCCAAGGAGCTAATCAAATGTCATTTCTACTTCAGATGGATGTCAAATCTAACCAGGATGAGACTGTCTCTGCCTTGGAATGAAGGAGCAGCTGTGCTCACACTGGAGAAGAGTCACTCTCCTTCTGTCTTGTGCTGCAATGGAGGAGGGGACAGTGCTGCCCCTGGACCTCAAGAGCTGGCAGAATCTGTCCCCTGCCACACAAAACATTGTCTGGAGTTGGGAGGGCAAGGGCCCAAGGGGTTAAGGCTCCTGGGCTTCCTTCTCAATTAAAAGGTGTACTGAACAGGGCAGCACGGAACAAGAAGGCAGAGTAATAGCACCAATATTCCCGAATCTTATTCATTGTTCATTTAAAATAAAGTTTCACAATTAGTTCACAATGTCAGTAATGATTGAGTCACTTGCAAAACAACAACTTCCAATCCAGGCCAGGTCATTCAAGAGTGCGCAAGGGTCAGAATTGCCCTAGAGGCCAGTTTTACCATACCCTTCAACCCTCAAAAAGCAGTGAACTCAACAACAGCATTGATGCAGTCAATCTTAAAAAACTGGCAGGAGTGGCGAGTCAGATAAGAGTGCATTCTACAATATATCTACACAGTGAGACAGGCAGGCCTGTCACCCCTCTTGCTCTTGACCACTAGAATGCATATGATAGGCATCAGAACTCCATTACCAAGGTCTCTACAGTCCTACAGGAGAAACATTACAATAGTCTGCCCAACTTCATGGCAGTAACCAGGAACACCATTGAACTGATGTTTAAGAAAATGGAGACCGTCCTCATGTGATCCAGTCACATGATTTTGAATGAAGTGATTGCATCCCTTCAGATCCTGGAAGAGAAAAGAAACAGGAATGAGAAACAAGGCAGCCATTATCAAAATTAGGAAAGAAGGATCAATGATCGTTAAGATGTAGGAGTAGAACATAGAACAGTGTAATATAGGAACAGGCCCTTCGGCCCACAATGTTACACCGAACATGATGCCAAATTAAAACAATCCCTCCATTTCCTGCATATTCATGTGCTTATCTAAAAGCTCCTTAAACACCCCTATCATATCAGCCATTCTAGGCACCTACCACTCTGTAAAAAAACTTGCCCCTCACATCTTCTTTGAACTTCCCCCCTCTCACCTTAAATGCAATCCCCTAGTTTTAGATATTTCAACTCTGGGAAAAAGATTCTGACTGCCAACCCTATCTATGCCTCTAATAATTTTATAAACTTGTATCAGGTCTCCCCTCAAACTCCATGCTCCAGAGAAAACAACCTGAGTTTTTCTAGCCTCTCCTTATAGCTTATACTTTCTAATCCAGGCAGCATCCCGGTAAACCTCTTCAGCACTCTCTCCAAAGCTGCCACATCCTTGATGTAATCTGGCGACCAGATTTGAATGCAATAAAGAAGCAGGCCACTGGCAGACTGAGTCTGCTCAGTTATTCAATCAGATCATGGCTCATCTGATAATTCCACTTTCCTACCTTTTCATGATAACCTGGATTCCCATAATGATTAAAAATTTGTCTCACAGCCTTGAACTTATTCAATGACATAGCCTGAAGAATTCCATAGATTCACTACCCTCAAGAGACAAAATTCCTCATCACAATCTTAAACGGGTGTTCCCTTACTCTGAGATTGCACCCTCTGGTCCTAGACTCTCCCATTGGGGGAAATAATCTCTTAGCATCTACCCTGTCAAGCCCTCCAAGACTTATGTGTTTCAATAAGACTGGGCTGCCTCCAAAGCCAGCACATCTTCCCTGAGATAAAGGGCCCAAAACTGTTCACAGTATTCCAACTATGGTTTATAGTGCATTATATTGTTTTAGCTAGACTTCCCTACTTTTATATAGTAAACTTCCTATTATCCAACAAGTATTAGGAATTGGGGGCACTGGTTACATAAGAAACACTTGTATAGAAACCTAATACAGTACACTCTACTATTCTTTGAATAAAAACACTGAATTCCTGCATAAGCTGTAATTTTCACCCATTTCCAATTTCTGCTTCAAAGTCAAAACAACACGCTTTTGCTTTCAACTTTGTGTGGTGGCCTCCTTACGTGACATAGCAGATTGATGAGTGAAAGATTCCAGATATAACATGATCACAAGTTCAACTAGCTGCTACTGTAATGATGTCTATGTGAGGGAGGATGTTGGGCAGCACTGCTAGCAGGGTCTGAAAGAACTACTACATGGCAGGTGTACACACATTGTACGCATTGGAACCTGCCATGCCAAGTTCAAATAGACATTTTTGAAGAAACTTGACAAATTTCTTCCAGCTGAGTGAGAATTCTGGATGCTTGGGTACCAGAAAACGGGGCTGTATTCCATTCCCATTGAAGCAAAGGCAAGCATTTCATTTGCCTTCCCTATTGACCACTAAATTTGGATGCTAGCTTCTTGTGATTCATGCATGAGGTCCCCTAAATCCCTCTGTGCTGCAGTTTTCTGCAGTCTTTTTCCATTTAGATAATATTTAGCTCTCCTATTCTTCCTGCCAAACCCTACATTTACCACATTTATATTCTATCTGTCATTTTTGTTCATTCACTTCACTTGTCTATCTCTCTGCAGAATCTATGTCATCCTCACCATTTGCTCTCCCACCTATTTGTGTCATCTGTAAACCTGACTATAGTTCTTGCACTTTCCTCATTAAAATCATTAATATATATTGTGAATAACTGTGATCCCGGCACTGATCCCTGTGGCATTTCCACTAGTTATAGATTGGCATCCTGAAAATGACGCCTTCTCCCAACTCTGTCTTCTATCAGTTAGTCAATCCTCTATCCACACAAATATAGCACCTCCAACACCTTGGGCTCTTAGCTTATTAAATATCCTAATGTTTAGTACCTTAAATTGCTGTAAATCCAAACGTATATCCTGTTGTTGTCTCCACAAAAAGTTCTACAGAACTTGTCAGGCATGACTGCCCCTTCTTGAAGCCATGCTGACTCTGCTTGATCCATAGAGTCCCTACAGTGTGGAAACAGGCGATTCGGCCCATTGAGTCCAAAGAACATCCTACCCAGACCCACACCTCCACCCTATCCCTGTATCCCTGCATTTCCCATGGCTAATCGACCTAATCTGCACATCCTTGGACACTATGGGAAATTTAGCATGGCCAATCCACCTAACCGGCATATCATTGCACTATGAGAGAAAACTGGAGCACTGGGAGGAAACCCATGTAGACATGGGGAGAATGTACCAACTCCACACAGACAGTTGCCTGAGGCTGGAATCAAACCTGGGACTGTGGCACTGTGAGGCAGCAGTGCTAACCACTGAGCCACTGTGCTTCTAAATGCCCTGTTATTACATACTTTATAATAGACTCAATGTTTTTCTCACAATAGATTTTAAGTTAACTGGCCAATAGTTATTTGTCACATGTTTTTTGTCCTCACACCCTGTTAAAATATGGGTGCAACCTTGGCTGTTTCCCAATGCATCCTCTATCTTTGTAGCTACTTCCTTTACTATCCGAGGATGCATTCTATCAGGACCAGGGGCTCATCAGTCTTTAGCCCCATTAGTTTCGTTAGATTTATATTTATTCAATATTGTCACTTGTACCTAGATACAAGTCACATATGTATAATGTTGCCACATTCCAGCTCCGTCTTGGATTACAGACTAAAATACTGAATAAATTAATATTAAATTGATATTCTAAAAATGAAACAGGTTCAACATTTCACCCTTCCCTTTCTGTAGCCTTCACCATCTCTGCTCCTCCAGTCGCTGCCTGGAGTCCCAGCAACGTGCTCCTTTCCTGCCGCCACTGGTGTCGTCGCTTATGATAATCCTCAGTGCAGTTTGTTTCCATCCTGCTATCTCAGCCCCCTGACTATTTCCAGTGTGAGAATTATGATATTCAGTGCAGTTTGTTCCCATCCTGCTGTCTCAGCCCCCTCACTATTTCCAGTGTGAGAGTTATGATATTCAGTGCAGTTTGTTCCCATCCTGCTATCTCAGCCCCCTGACTATTTCCAGTGTGAGAGTTATGATATTCAGTGCAGTTTGTTCCCATCCTGCTATCTCAGCCCCCTCACTGTTTCCAGTGTGAGAGTTATGATATTCAGTGTAGTTTGTCAGCTGCTCAACCAGAGCTGTCTGCAGATATTTGACGACGTGATCTTAGTGCCACATTTCTGCAGCATCACCTCCGCAGAACCTCCCTCAGTCAGACAGTCACTGAATTTGAATGCAGACTGAGCCAGGATGAAGCAGGAACCTTCTCACAGTCTTGCCAGGAGGTAAATTACTTGTTAAACTCCACCCTGCACCAACCTGAGGTATCTCATCCCTCAGGTTCCTCTGGTCACTTAGTATTTTTTTCTTGAGTGATAGTTATTGTGTTTACTTCCTGCCCAGCTTTAGCCCCTTGATTATTGAGCATTTTTAGAATGCACTTAGTGTCACTTACAGTTAAGGCTGATACAAAGTATTTATTCAACTGCTCTGCTACTGCCTAGCTGCCCATTATTTCCCCAGTCTCATTCTCCCAGGGCTCTATGTTCACTTTGATCCCTCTCCATCTCTTTTTTATATTACTTACTAGTTATCCTTCAAAGTTATCTTCTCAGTTTATTTTTGGCCACCCTTTGTTGGTTTTCAAAACATTCCCAATCCTCTGGCTTTCCAGTAATTTCCATCACATTGCATGCCTTTTCTTTCAATTTGATACTATCCTGATTTTCCTTGGTTACGTTTATCCTTTTCCTGGAATCTATCCTTCTCACCGGGATTTATCTGTATTCAACCTCTGTCTTTTTTGCTAAATTGTTCACTTGAGCCAACTCTACCCTTATTTAAGTTTAGCACAGTTGTTTCCAGCCCAAGTTTCTCCCTCTCAAACTGAATGCTAAATTTTACCATGTTATGGTTACTGTTTCATAGAATCCCTACAATGTGGAAACAGGCTCCTTCGGCCCAACAAATCCACACCACTCTCAGAGCATCACACCCAGGCCCATCCCTCTATAACCCACCTAATCTACACCTCCCTAAACACCATGGGCAATTTACCATGATCAATCCACCTAGTCTGCACATCTTTGGACTGTGGAAGGAAAGATTGTTTACCTCTGAGATCATTTATTAAACCTACCTCATTACTTATTACTAGATCCAAAACAGGCAAAAGTATTTTTTAAAAAGTTGTTCTCAAGTACAATACATCTTTATTGCTCATTTCATTGCAGCATTAATATTCATTTGTGATAATCTAGGGAATTACAGATCAGTGAGTCTAAAATCAATGGCAGGAAACTATTAGACCATGGGTTCAATTCCCGTTCCCAGCTGAGGTTACCACGAAGGACTCTGCTTCTCAACCTCTTCCCTCGTCTGAGGTGTCATGACCCTAAGGTTAAAACATCATCAGTGTCTCTCTCTCTAATGAGAACAGTCAATCTCAACTTTCATGACCCTTCATTACCTTTAATTTTGTGGGAGCTTGCTGGGCGCTAATTAACTGGTGTATTTTCTGCATTGTAGTAGTGAATTTACTGAGACAGTGTGTGAAGCTATTTGGAACATTCTGAAATTGTGAAAGGTGCTAACGAAAGGCAAGTTATAAAATGCATGTCTTTTTGATTCATTCCAATGTAATGCTGTGTGAACAGTAGGTGTCACTATTCACTTGATGAGTAAACACAGCTTTCTCCCTTCCCCACCACTCCCTGAAGTGATCTGAAATGATATCCTCTTGCAGAAATTCAGGCGAGTTCCCACTGCCCCCATTCTCTAGCTGATAACTATGGTCATCAGGTAAATTCTACAATTCACAGCATTCACCAACACTTCACAAAGCTTCTCGGCGTGTTACCTGTGATCAGTAGGTTGAGTAAAAGACCAGTTGTGCATTCTGTACCTCAAAGCACTGATTTCTAAATGAAGAGGTAAACACTCCTGACTTTTGTTAGCATCGCTAAACATGCAATGGAAAGGATGAAGTAAAAGAGATGGTTCTTCTTACCATTCTCACCTTCTGGCTGGTGGGAACAGGGTCGACACTGAGGCCTGTGCAGCAGCCTGTTGGCTTGTAACAATGGCTGGTGAGGATAGACCTGGGAATATGGAGAGATGTGCTGGGTAAGAGAGCAAAGTGCAACAATACAATCAAAATCAAACATGATGGTCAGGAACAGACCAATTGGGCCCTTTAAGCCTACCCCACACCTTAATGACTGGACCATCCTGATTAAAGCCAGTTTTCCTTCCCCCACCCCATCCCCACTCCGCTGCATAATGTCCTTGGAGACATAATAGAGAGGTGTGACAAGAACCAACTCAACCCCCAGCAATTTCTCCAAAGCAGACCAAGGAGGTGACACATGCAAAGTGTAATGAAAGCTGAAGAATTATGTACACATTGTAACCTCTCCAAACTGGAAAGGGAAACTACAGTGGTCTGAAATTTTTCAAGCAGGTCTAAATGGTTCCCTCAACATTATCAGCATCATTTTAATGTAGTGCTTTGGGAGCTGAAACACAGAAGGTACAAGTATTTGGATAAGTACTGCTGCTTTATAATATAACAGTGATTCATGTTTCAGTAACTATATCTACAGTGATTAGGAATTTTACCTCATTCTACAATCCAGAACATGATTCAGCCCCAGGTGTCTGTTTTGTTGAGGTTACAGTGCATATGTTATCTACTCCATCAATTAAATGGTGTCTCAGTATATCATTTCAACATACAGGACACTGAGCACAGGGTAAAGACACCTATGTACCTCATTTCTATCCTGATAAAAACATCTACTTGAGCCACAAATCACAAACAACACGTATCTTTGGAATGCAGCCATTCAGAGTGGTAACGCTGGACAATGACTGCAGCAATGACACACATCAATCATCCATTGTGTGTTTTGAATTTCATTAAAGGAATGTCCGATGGTATTGGTTTTAAATCTGAGATTATCAGCTGTTTGCTATGAGTCATTATGGTTTACAGAATCAGGTCCAGACCAGCCACAATCTCAGTGACTGGCAGAAAGATGATGGGCCAAATAGTCCCCCTCCTGTGATTATTTACAGGATCAGTCATCTGTATAAGAAGAACTGAGATCATAAGCCATGCTAACAGTGGAACTAATAACTACTTCCTTAATAGAAAAAGGCCAAATGAGCAATGGTCATCAGCAATCACTCTAGAATATATTTGATATCCAGTCACTTCATAGTTGTATGTTAAAATTAAACCATTCTTCATCGAAGAATTTCACTTTAAGGGTATGCTAACTGGGAATATATAATACAAACCCAACACTGGGGGTGAATGCATGTTTGGAGCTTGGCTGCAGTGTAGCAGATCGGTACAATGTTTTCCATGCACTGATATCTCAGAACTACTGAATTCCACTTACTAACTCTAAATATACCAGTACATTAAGTGTGATTGTGTCTCATCATTAGTCCTACCTGTTGCATACGGTAGGTCATACTGCCCTGGGAGCAACGGGTAACCCATCCCGAGGTGATGATGTGAGGTGATCTGTCGCTGGGATGGTGAAGAACGGGGCCGTTCTTTATCGATCTCTCGCTCTCCTCGTTCTCTTTCATGAGGAGGTTTATCACTTGTCTAGATTTAAAAAAGATTCCCATTAATATTAATTTGCCAATTTACCCCAGTCAGAGTACTCTTGTTTAAGACATCACATTAAGCCTCACTCCCGGAGTCAAATTAATTACCCACGTTGCAGTACTATGCAGTATCTGGAATGCTGTATTGTTTGGGGAGCTGTCTCCTGAAAAATGTGTAAAATCAAGATCCTGCTACCTATCAAAATGGGCTCAAGATATCATACGGCTCTATATAAAGAAGAGCTGGAAATCTGTCTGGTGTCCCGGCTAAGCAGTCATTCGACATAGTTGTTGTTTAAGGGAACAACGCATATCAAAAAAAAGGGCATTCCACTTTTCACGATGTCATCAATCGATTGTGAAGAGTACTCATCTCAACCAAGAGCATGGTAGCACGCTAACTGAAGTGATATTCTTGATATTCACCTCTGGAGGGTAACTATGTTCCCCTTGACCATCCACCTACAAACAGCGCACACCAGGTTAGACTGGGCCAGCAATGGAACAGTGGACTAGAAAGCGGACAATATTTGATCCATTGTACATTAAAGTGAGAGATTTGGTACAGGATTACAGGATATTAAGGCATATTAAAAACACACAGGTTTCATCTTTATCAAAGTGAGGGATGTCAGTGTCAGGGAATCCCAACCGAAAGTGGAGAGCAGTTGAGTGTAGCTCTCTTGTCAACTCAGTAGTATGCCTTTACCCAACCTCATCACATCAGTTGTCAAGGATCCCTAAGGCCTGCTGAGCGAACTGATTAAATACACAAACTGCAGAAAATTTCAGCATTGACTATCTACAGAGCAGCTTGACTCGGCCCAAACCAGTTTCATTTTGAATCATTATACTTGGCAGATGGAGGTTTCCAACCACTTTTCAACTGAAGATCACTTTACATTTTAAGGTGATGGCTTAACAGTTTTGAAAATATAAAATTGCGAAGTCTATTCTACCATTACTACCTTGTAATCAGCATCCCTACACAAGATTAATAAGATATTTTAGCACAATAAAATGCAATACTTTTTGTCCAGTTCTGGACTAGCTAAAAGATGGCCAGCCTTGTCTAGTTCTGAAACAGTCCCCCTTCAGTAAAATTCAAAATGAAAAAATATTAATTCATGTCACCTTAATTTACAATTTAGCAGTGCCACAATGCGTTAAATACACACAATAGTCTTTGGTAGATTTAGATTTCAGCAGCATCCTGAATGGAGTTCTACTATAATCGCATATCAGTGTCTAATTGCGTGGCATGACTGTGGCCAATCAGCATGTTTTCTGAGGCCTAGTGTAATATCTACTTACTAGCCCTGTCCCTACATACAGTAGACCTGAATTAGAATGGAGGTAAACCTGGATTTTGGCAATGCCACCAATTCTTTGCAAAATAAAAATCAACAATTTTGACCAAAATAAAGCATTAACTCTGGCCAACAAATTTGTCAGAATAAAATTGTACATGGTTTGTAATCAATTACCCATTCTCTTCTTTCTATTAATGTTAATATTTTGGAGGTCAGAGGTTGAGGGCTGACCTTATACAGGCTTATAAAATAATGAGGGGCATGGACAGGGTGAATAGACAAGGTCTTTTCCCCAGGGTGTGGGAGTGCAAAACTAGATGGCATAGGTTTAAGGTGAGAAGTGAAAGGCTTAAAAAGGACCCGCGGTATAATGTTTTCACGCAGAGGGAGGTGCGTGTATGGAACAAGCTGCCAGAGGAAGTGGTGGAGGTGGGTACAATTACATTTAAAAAGGCATCTGGTTGGGCATACAAATTCAGAAGGACATGGGCCAAATACTGGCAAATGGGACTAGGTCAAATTGGGATGTCTGGTCAGCACAAATGAGTTGGATCGAAGGGTCTGTTTCCATGCTGTATGACACTATTAGCAGTGCATGACAGCTGAACTTCAGCCCTTTATCAGGCAGCCAATATTACATTGGGATGACAGGTCTAGATGTGACCAATCAGGTTAGGAGACTGACCAAATAAGAAAAAGAAGTTTAGCATTTAATTCACATTTATAGGTTACAGTGCCACTCCACCCTGTCCCACAGCAGTGAACAAACTCTGATGAAGTATCTAATATTTACCTCTAATCAAGAAACCTACATGAAGAATCAAAATGCAGGACACCAAGTAGGACACAAAACGATGAAAATTTCCTAGATGAAACCAGGCTTTGCTTGCAAAGTGTGAGAGTTTCAGAAAGACTGAAAAAGAGGGGGCTCAGAGCCCCATAGCTGTCACTGTATGGTCAAACAAAAGACTAGACAATAAGCCTAAATTTCAATGGAGAAAGCAGGGGCAGTGGAGGGAGTGAAGGCATCCTATTGGAGATACTGTAGAATGAGAAATACAATCAGAACTACGTAGTAGCGGCTGTGTAAAAGAGAGGGCTTGGGAGTGACACAGGAGGGAAAGATTGCCTGTCAGATAAAAGGCCATCCAGTATTTTGTCCAGGAGCACGAGTGCGAAATGGCCGAACATGGTTAGACAAGCACTGGAAAGGCCTGCATTTTACAGCAGAATGAAATGCTGCTGAAAGGGAGAAGTGTTGTGTACAGAGAGGAAATTGAGCTGCTTGGAGATATTTCTTTTGAAATGTAAGATCAGAGGGAGCAGTGAGAATGTTCCCTGATTAAAAATCTCAAACAGAATCATCTAGGGCAAAAGGCAGTAGCTGCTGGTTGGACACAGGAAATCAAGAAAATGGAAATTTGCAAGGGATCCAGATTTTTATTGCCTTTTAAGAGCAAAGGTGATACAAAGAAGAACAAAGAATGGTACAGCAAAGGAATAGGCCCTTCGGCCCACCAAGTCTGCGCCCACACAATGCCTTTCTAAACTAAAAACCTTTTGCCTCCACACAGTCCATATCCCTCTAATCCATGCTATTCATATATCTGACAAGATATCTGTTAGACGTCGCTATTGTATGTACCTCCACCACCCCCTCTGGCAGCACATTCCAAGCACTTATCACCCTCTATGTAATAAAACCTGCCTCTGACATCTCCTTTAAACTATCCCCCTTTTACCTTAAACCTGTGTCGTCTAGTAATTGACATTTCTTCCTGGGAAAACAACTCCGACTATCCATTCTATCCGTACCTCTCATAATTTTGTAAACTTTTATCAAGTCACACCTCAGCCTCTGTCGTTCAAGTGAAAACAAACCAAGTTTGTTCAATCTCTCCTCATGGCTGACATCTTCCAAACCAGGCAACTCCCTGGTAAACATTTTCTGTACCTTCTCCAAAGCTTTCACATCCTTCTGGTAGTGTGGCAACCAGAACTGTGCACAATATTCAGAATGTGGCCTAACTAAGGTTCTACACAGCTGCAACACGTCTTGCCAATTTTTATACTCTATGCACCAACCAATGAAGGCAAGCATGCTGTATGCCTCCATGATCACCTCATCCACTTGTGTTGCTACTTTCAGGGAACTGTGGACCTGTATGCCTCTGAATATTAATACTTCTAAGGGTTCTGCCATTGACTGTATACTGCCCTCCTTCATTAAACATTCCAAAATGCATCTCCTCGCGTTCATCTGGATTAAATTCCACCTGCCATTTCTCCATCCAAGTCTCCAGCCTATCTATATCCTGCTGTATCCCCTGGCAATCATCCACAGATCCCCCAATCACTGTCACCTATGCTCTCCTTCAAATCTCTTACACATATCACAAACAACAGAGCTCCTTGTGGAACACCACTGGTCACAGATCTCCAGTCAGAAAAACACCCTTTCACCGTTACTCTCTGTCTTCTATGACCAAGCCAGTTATTACCAGCTCACCACAGATTCTTCTTTTGTATTAGCCTGCCACAACAAACCTTGTTAAAGGCCTTGTTGAAGTCCATGTAAACAATCTCCACACCCTGCCACCATCAATCATCTTTGTCACTTCCTCAAAAAAAACTCTATCTAGTTTGTGAGACACAACCACCCCTGCCTAAAGCCGCGCTGCCTATTGCTAATAAATCCATATTTTTTTCCAAATGTGAGTAAATCCTGTCTCTATGTCTGTTCTCCAATAATTTCCCTACATTGACATAAGGCTACCAGCCTGTAATCTCCCATATTAGCCTATTGTCCTTCTTAAACAAAGGAGCAACATTGGCTATTCTCCATTCCTCTGGGACCTTTACAAGGTCCAAGCAATTTCCTCCGTCACCTCACATCAGGTCCTAGGGACTTATCTGCCTTAATGCTTTTCAAAACACTCAACACCACTGTTATATCGACATGCCCTAAAATATCAATATACCTCTCCTGAGACTCACCATCCACCACGTCCTTCTGCTTTGTGAATACTAATGCAAAATAATTGTTAAGGACCTCACCCAATTCCTCTGGCTTCACATATAAATTCCCTCCTTTGTCCTTGAGTGGGCTTACCCTTTCCCTAGCTACCCTCTTGCTCTTTATATATATGTAAAATGCCTTGGGATTTTCCTCAACCCTGTTTGCCAAGGACATTCCATTGCTTCTTTTAGTTCTCCTAACTCGTTGTTTCTTTCTTGCTTCCTTTATATTCTCAAGGAATCTGTTTGTCTTCAGTTTCCTAAACTTATGTATGCCTGCATTTTTTTTCTTTTTTACTAAGCTCACAATTTCTATCATCATTCAAGGTTCCCAAATCCTGCCAACTTTATCCTTCATTTTTACAGGAACATGCTGGTCCTGAACTCTTGTCAACTGGCCTTTAAAAGATTCCAACATGCCAGTACATATAGTTATGATGACCTCCCTTTTGAGAAAGTCCCATGCACGCTCAGAGGCATCCTTGGGATGTGAAGATTTCAATCACTTCTGAAGTTAAAAGAAGTTAAAACTATATGCACTAAGAATGAAAAAAAACTGATGACTGTAGAGTGGACTCAACATCAAAGGGGTTCATGAAATTCATCAAGTGAAGATACAGACACTAGGGAGAGATCACAATGGGAAAGAGAGGGGATCCCAGAGTTACCGAAAAAGAAGAAAACGAGAAACAATCGGTTAGATGTCAAAGAGAATGAGGAAAGAGGGGAATTGTGGCATTGAAATACAGGATTAGCTATAATCACGTTGAATGGCACAGCGCATTTGATGGGCCAAAAGGCCTTCACCCACTTCTATTTTCTCTGCTTCTATGATACAAATGAAACATCAATACTACATAGCTCGAACCGACCTGGTCATGCTAACTTGTATAGAAATGCACAGTGTAATGGTTTGGAGACTGAAATGGGTTCTGTACTGAAGCAGAATGAAAGCATCTCATTCACTCCATAAAGTGGTTCTGAACGGAGGGCTATTTGGTTGAACAAGTATCACATGGCATAAAATTGGCTGCTGTGTTCCCAGCAGACAGAGGAGATCTCTGTATGTTGCCAGCCTTGCTTACTTACTGTTGGTGACCTGCTCTTGTACTGACTGGCATGCTGCTGCAGGATATCAAGGGCCATGGATTCAGAGCTCGGCTTGCTGCCTACACCAGGGCTCCCACGAGCTCGATCGCTGTCTTCATGCCCTGGAACCTTATTGGCATAAGGTGAGAAAGAGAATCCAGAGGACAAATACGACCCTGAAAAGCAGATTATCCAAGTCAATCAGAAGAGTGGCATTAACTCACAATCTAATTTTAAAGGTACATAAACCAAATGTGAAATAAGACAGCCATTGAAGTAACAGTCTTAACTACAGTCTATACCTGTGAGATTTTTCAAGATAGAATGGGAAATACGTCTATACTCAAAAGAGTAGGAGGACTTTGGATCTCTCTTCCACAAACAGCAACCGTTAACTAAAAGCATTAAAGGTAAAATAGGTAAAGTCACCATAGACCCAGAGGAACACCAGGCTGCTCTCTCATTAGAGACACGACTGGTGGTAGTTTAATCAGGGGGTCACCACACCTCAGGTGAGAGGACAGGTTGAGAAATGAGTCCTTCACGGAACCTGTCAATGTGGGAATTAGACTCACGCAGTTGGCATCACTCTGCATCACAAACTAGCCACCCAGCTAACTGATGCCTTAAAAAAAAGGGATACAAGTCGCAGACGGATACATCGAGTTTTTCTTTCTGTTCTTTTGACATGACATTACTGGCCAGCACTTATTATCCTTGAGAAGGAGGTGGTAAGCTGCCTTCTTGAATCACTGCAGTCTATGCGATGTAAGTACACCCACAGGCTTTAGACTCTCGCTCCGACATTTCAGAGGCAGCTAACAGCATTGCTATGGTTCTGGAGTCTCAGGTAAGCCAGATCAGGTAAGGATGGCAGACTTGATGTTTGTGAACAGGTGGGTTTTACTGACAATCTGGTAGTTTCATGATTATTAATGAGACTAGCATTTCTTCCAGATTTATTAACTAGTTGTATTTAAATTCTCCCAACTGCCTCAAGCAGATCCTTCTGAATTGTAGTACAGGCTCAAGCTATTAAATAACCTATGCTTATTCCTGTGTTCCTGTACGACTGCCAGTCTGAATCTCTTGGATTTAATCACGTTCTAATTGTATACAGTAGCTAGCAGGACACTGTCAAACTACAACAATGAATTCCTTTTTGGGAGGAGAAAGATTGCATTTTCTTCATTACAATGTCTTCTGACACTGATCATAGAATCATAGAATCCCTATAGTGTGGAAAAAGGCCCTTCGGCCCAACAAGTCGACACTGAACCTCAGAGCATCCCACCCAGACCCATCCCCCTATTACCCACCTAATCTACACCTCCCTGAACACTACGGGGAATTTAGCATGACCAATCCACCTAGCCTGCACATCTTTGGACTGTGGGAGGAAACCGGAGCACCCGGAGGAAACCCACGCAGACGCGCAGAGAATGTGCAAACTCGACACAGACAGTCGCCCGAGCCTGGAATTGAACTCGGATCCCTGGCGCTGTGAGGCAGCAGTGTTAACCACTGTGTCACCGTGCCGCCCCATCTCAGAGTATAACATAGGAGCAAATTATGCATATGCTGGAATCTACACCGAAAACAAATGCTGGAGACCACAGTGGGTCAGACAGCATCATGGGGAGAGAGCAAGCTAACGTTTCGAGTCTAGATGATTCTTCATCAAAACTGTAGTGAAGTGTGGAGGGTCAACATTTACGCTCTAGATTGGGGGTGGGTGTAGGGTGCTGGTAGAGAAAAGATGTTGATAGTTCAGGTTAAGTGATTGGGATCTGTACTGAAAATAACAAATTTCCCGACTCAAAACGTCAACTTTCCTGCTCCTCTGATGCTGCCTGGCCTGCTGTGTTCCCCCAGCTCCACACTGTGTTACTATTGTTCTGCCATTCTCACATTCTGATCACTTAATCTGAACCATTAGCATCTTTTATCCACCAGCCCTCTACTCCCACCACCCTCACACACTCTCCCACCCAACTACAGCATAAATGTTGCCCGCTCCACATATCACTTCAGCTCGAATGAAGAGTCATCTAGACTCAAAAAGTTAGCTTGCTGTCTCTCCATGGAAACTGAAAGAACTGCGGATGCTGTAAATCAGTAACAAAAACAGAAGTTGCTGGAAAAGCTCAGCAGGTCTGGCAGCATCTGTGAACAGAAATGGTAGTTCTGAGTCTGAGGAAGGGTCACTGGCCTCGAAATGTTAACTCTGATTTCTCTTCACAGACGCTGCCAGACCTTCTGAACTTTTCCAGCAACTTCTGTTTTTGGCTCTCTCCACAGATGGTGTCTGACCTGCTCTGATCTCCAGCATTTGTTGTTTTCAGAATACAACATACCCAGCTGTATTCAGTCAAGTGGTGTCTTTGGGCTATTACTGAATCAAAAGTTTCTGCTGATTATTCCAGACAAAAAATAATTCTCACGGTCCACCTAAGTACATACATATTCTTAGGAACATAGGAAGCAAACCCCTCATGTCAGCACCATTTTCTCACCATTTTCTATTTTAAGAGATCTGGAGCTACAGTACCCGTTGAGTGGAGTTGATTTCCTGGTAAGCCATAAACAAATTGAATGGAGATGCAGGTTCACAGGGCTGAATGCCAACAATGCTCACATCACAAGAAATAATTATTTTAAAAAAGATCTCTCGCAGTTTACAGAGAAAATAGATCCTCTGTATCTAGCCTCTCTAATTTAAATAATTTAAATTGTTACTTATTAGTCATACTTCAATACTCCTATCAAGAAAACAAAGCCAAGTCTTTGTCCTCAAAATATCACCCTCGAAGCTTCAGTGTGATCCTGATGATTCTGCATTGCACCCCTCTGGCCAATGCGTCCTTCCTGAGACATAGTGTCCAAGACTGAAGGGAATGGGATAAGAATGAGCCTTCATTTAACTGAAGTCAAAATCCTGGAATTCCTTCCTTAATGACATTGTGGGTCAGCCTACAACAAGTGGACTGCAGTGGTTCAAGAAGGCAGCTCATCACCACTTTCTCAAGGGCAACTAGGGATGGGCAATAAATGCTGGGCCCAGATAATGACGGCCACGTCCCATTAATAAATTTTTAAAAACTACAACTGTGTTCCAGTCTGAGAAAAAGTCAAAATTTCATTCGCCTTTTTCCATTGCTGTTTATTTTTATCTTTTAATGTGTAATCAAACTTTCAAATATCTCTGCTTCCCCTCAATTTGGAGCTATTTACAATAAACTCTGATTTATTCTTCTCAGATCCAAAGTGGATGTGTCAGACTAATCCACGTTGAATTCCATTTTTGGCCAGCTACTTAACTAAAGTCCCTATTGCTCCCGGTGTCCGCCCTCCTAACTTTATATGGTTTGCAAATTCAAATCCAACTCTCCATTCCATCATTTATTTCAGAATTATACCCACTTCCCTCATCCCTTCCTCCTCCACGGGTGGAACAGATAAACATGGTTTATCTCAGCTGTAAACACAGTGAGCCCTTAATGTGACCATCTCTGTTACTATCTCTTCCCTGTAAGACTCTTTGATCCTCTTGAAGGTCCACTACAGTGATGACTTTCCTGGAATGCATTGCTTTTTGCCCCTCCCAACAATAATGTAGCTGAGGACAGGGACTCAGCAATGCTAGGCTGTAACTGTATATCCATAAGTGCTGTGCAATTGGGTGAAACCACGCAGTTGAAACACCACCTATAAAATCTGCTTAAAACATTCACCGGCACATCATTTCTGCATCATTTCTTTTGAATCAAACATTGAATATTTAAAGAATGGGACAAGAGTTAGAGTGCAGTACTGGTTACATTAAAGGATACTAACCCAGAGACGATAATCAAGAGGGCAGTTCAAAACAATAAACATTATCCAGAAACAAGAGGAAGTAATGGTACAGTGGCAAAATCACTAGATTAGTAATCAAGAACTTCAGGGGAATGTGCTGATGTTATGGTTTAAATCCCAGTGTGGCACATGGTGAAATTTGAATTTAATTAAAAAACCTGGATTGTAAAGCTCGTCTAAGACAGATTGTCATAAAGACCCATTTGGTTCTAAATGTCTCATAGGGAAAGAAGTCTGTTGTACATAGGGTGAACTGAACTACATGTTATTCCAAACCAACAACAATGGGGTTGAAAATTAATTGCCTTCTGAAACAGCCTAGCATGCCACTTAGTTTCAGGGAAATTAGGAATGGGCAATAAATACTGGTTTAGCCAGAGACGTCCACATCCCAAATACAAATCAAAAGAATTTGCGAGCTGTGGTTCTGATTTGCTACTGTTTTGTGAGTAGTGATGTTACAGTCAACTGTTGCTGGATTTTAACAAGCAGCTGCTGGCTTGGTGGCTCATCCAGAATCTTTGCAGCAACAAATGAATGCATGCTTTTACCTGGATAGTTCTGCATCATCATTGGTGTCACTCCTCGAAATCCCGGGTGTGGAGTTTCATATGGCTTCCCATATGGATAGCCATGGACGTATGGCATGTAAGATGGGTGTTGAACCATCGAGGAGGACACAGGAATGTGAAGTCCTGACCTGGGATCTTTCCCAATAGATCGGCACTCTTCCAGAGAGGTCGAACGGGATTCCAAGCACATGCTGTCTTTGCTCTCCTCTTTAACTGCTATCTCTTTGCTTCTTAGCCGTGAAGAGCTTTCTTCTTTGAATTTCCGGTCCCGCTCCACTTCCTTCCACCTTTCCTCTTCTGCTTTTTGCTGCTCTGAGTACTTGTTCGGATAGACGTAAGACCACAGCCTGCTCTCAGATTCCTGAAAAACACAACACTGAGTGATTCAATTCAGTGCAAATGATGCTCGCAATTGCAATCATGTTGAAGTGCCAAGACCCTTCTGTATTCTACTCAGGACCCTGTCAGACTGTGTGAAGCAAACAGTTATGGAATGTCAGAGGCTTCTTAATGACATTTATAGCCAGCTCTGCAGAGATGAAAAATTGCTTAGTTTCCCCAAAATGACAATGTGCAACTTCACAGAATCTCAGACCATATAACAAAGCTTTGTTAACAGAACATGCTGCTGCTTAAGGGGTTGATGTAAATATGTAGCCGAACACTCAATTGTTTTGAAATGGTGACAGCAAAGTGAGGGCAGTTTGGCTCTTCTTTAACCCAGCCAATCATAGCCTTCCTAATTAGGAAAATGATGACTGGGGCAAGTGGGTAATTTTTTAATATTGACCATATTGAGCACATTCATTCCCACAATGCTCCACAAAGTCAGTTCCCTTGACTGTTCTACCAGATGCCTTCTGTAATTCCGATAGCAGCCTCCGTGGAGAAAAGCTAGGAGCTGGGACCTGGCTTGATTGCTGTTAGAGACTACAACTTGATCCTGTGAAGCAGGTCTGCCCAATGAGACAAAGTGTAGTTCCATTAGAAGAAAAGATATAGGTCCCAAGATGGGACAGACTCCAATCATGGCTGCATTCCCACAAAATATGATTTTGTTGAAGAAACTGTATGAAATGGTCCTCATAGAAGGGAAAGTGTGAAGGAGTGTGTACAGAGTCTTGGGAGAGATGGAGTTTCTACAAACTGCTTTTACCTTCCCACTGTGAGCAGGAGCCAGTTTTGGAAGGCAGGTAGCGCAGGCATTCCAGCTGTACCTGCAGTGGAACTGGTGACCCCTGAACCACTTGGAAAAAGTGGTACTTGTTTGTTGACCTCTATGAACTCAAGCGCCAGAGTGTACTGACAAACTCAGCCAGAGTATTCTCTTTATGAGAGCGCCTTGCCCTCCCCCAACTCCCAACATTACCTGTTGCAGCATACTGGAAACTGTGAAGAAATTTACCATTTCAATGACTCTGTAGGGGAGGAGGAGCTCTGTTGGAAATAAAGTCAAGTTCAAAATAGGAATATGGTTTCTCTGTGCAATTTAAGGATGGCTGTGGACAGTTACACTTTGTCTTTGAAAGGAGCACTTTGGGAAAAGAAATTTACCATCTTGCTCTGTGGGATAGCTATTTCACAATTAAGGTAGCTGGATATCACTTCTCAGGAGAATGGCTGCTCTCTTCTGTTCCTGCATTTTATCCACAACTTAAGTGCGATTAAATACACTTAAGATAGTGCCGTATAATAGATAAGTTTGCGAGGCGGTGAATGTCGTTGTAAAAAGTCAGACAGCTCTTCAGGACAGAATGCTGTCCAGTGATATAGCTCGAGTGGACCTATTTAGAACTGGTTAAGGTGTCCCTGAGCATAGAAACTCTACCACTTAAGTTTCCTGTGACACAGAAATTACTGGGGCATCCCCAAGTCTATGGGCGCTGAAAGGCAGTTGTGTGGGTTGTTCCAGATTTCTTACCTTCTGAGTGCAGTTCAATTTTATTTCTACTCCTAAGGTCTGTGCAATATTTTTGATGTTAGATATCTGTTTCTAAAGAACTGTAATTCTTACACTTCTGTCAGAAGCTTCCTGTTAGCAAAAAAATTTAAACCAAGTGCTCACTTCCAAACAGGCTTTCTAGTTTTAAGGCAAATGACAGCTTTTCTTGCCTCTCCTGTTCTTTAACGCTGCAGTTTATAATTTAAAGAACACCTCTACAAGCTGGTAACCAAACCAATGGAGCTACCTGTTTCTGCTGCTGCAGTTTCTTTCCTCTATCCCACTCCTGCAGGAATTAACTAATCTTTAGAATAAGATTACTATCTCTGCCCTATTCGACCATGGAGATAAGCCACAGCCAGTCTTTCTTTCGATGCTCTGTATTTTCTGCAGGAGTCCGCAGGTTCTCATCGGAAGCAGAATCCCAGCTACTTCCCTTGACCTGATTTATGAATGTTAATCCTGACCGTGCCCTGTACCACCACCCTGGCTGAAATCCACATTGGCTAACAGCACCTAATTTGGTCTGGTTTAGTGAGGGAGTGCTCACTAACATTCAAGGAAGATCTCAATATTGTTAAAGAGAGGATAGAAAACGTTCAATGATAGCTTTATTACCTAACTCATGTATGCACAACAGGGTTTTTAAATTAATGCATACTGCTAAATTAGAAGCATGATTTTTAACAATAAATATCAACACGCAACATCAATAGCAGGTGGCACCTCATTACATTTATCATAGTTTATTTGCACAGACTTATTTAAGAAAGGACTAAATTTGCAACAGGTCCATTGCACAATTGTTGGAATTGAATATTAAATACAATCCTGTTCTATTCATTTAATTGAGTTTTACACCAGGATGAAAAAGAGATTATTTTTGGAAGTAATGTTGCTCCATTAATCACCATCATCCCATATGCAAAATCTCAATGATTGCAGTTGAACAGGAAAGGCTTTGGAAGATGCAGGAGATGGTTATTTGTGTCTGATCAGCTGAAATGCATGGCAGTGAAATTAAGTCAAAGTTGATTTGAAGCCTGAGAGTATGCAGGAGGCAAATTCAATCAAGATCCTCAAAAGACAACTGAATAATTATCTGAAGGGAAAAAAAAATGCAAAGCTTTGCAAGGGGATGGAACTGTGATAGTTGTGTTTGCAGACAACAAGCATGGACACAATGGGCAAAAAAGCCTCTTTCTTAACTGTTGTACAATTCTAACCTACCCGTACTGACATAAAAATCACCAGTTTACATTCTCTTTCAAAGGCATTCTCAACATGGCTTCAGTTAAGGTACAGACACACACAACAGACTATCATAAAATGTAAACATAATAGATCAATTTAACAGAATAAATTTCATCTTGCACTGCTCTCCAGTTTGTACAGTATATGCCACATACTTAGATAAAGACACCTCTTGCACCGAGCATTTCCAGGTGTCCTCTTTCCAGCTCTCCAGTGAGTTTCTATTGTCCTGGTGTATTCAATTTACTATTCTCCAACTGTGCAATTTTAGATGCACACAATGCTGAAATCTAATTCAACTCTGGATAGATTGTTGGTGGTTGGCCCTAAGTGCAGCATTGAGATTCCTTGGTCTAAACATTCTACACCACAGTGAAGACATGAACAAAGTGAAAATTCATCATGTAGAATCCCTAATGCATCAAAACATCAAATGCTGACACATACAAAACAGTTCTAAGTGTGTATTGAATAGAGGGCCTTCCACCACATACAGGATTATAATTCCTGAACACAGAATATGTTTTAGGATTTGCCAAATGGGCTACTGGGAGTGGCCTCTCATCTCTCTCCAGCAATGAATTAGTTGGTATCTCGAAAATCCCTTTAGTGATGAAGAATTAAAGTCACTGCCATCTCTTGGCACAAGATGCAATGAACTGCAATACTGAGTAAAATGAGCTAGGGATCAAATTCTATCTCTGTAATCTGCTATAAATACAAAAACAGATAGATTACACGCCACAGCTGTAGCAGTCAGGAGTCTGCAAACTAAGATTTGCTATATACAATATGGGTGTTCTCTTTTTTTAAAAAGACAAGGGATTATATAGAAGACTTTTCCCTTTAAGGCCACATTCGCATCACGTTCTCTGTCTGTGCTTTATATAAAGCTTCCTGCGTAGTGAACCTCAAATGACTTTCTATAAATCTGCTGGCAGGGTAACACAAACTCACGAAAACATGTTATGTACTGAATCCACCAGGTGGAAAATAGACAGTATGTGTTTATGGTGAGCATGCCTGAGGGCCAGCAAGTTAGTAAAAAGCACTGCAGTTCTCCCGAGACAAACCTGTTGAAAATAGCTGCTAATTGAGACCACAATCGGGTTAATTTGAGGATAACACCAGCAGTCTGAAATGTCAATGTGGCATCAATTGCCTTTTCCTCCTCCTACCTCCAACCCCACTATCAAATGAGGAAAAATTGTCAATCCAATTTAGAGCATTTTAACAATGTCAATCATTGCCATGTATCGGTATAAGATTGCATCTGAACATGATTCAGTGGTTCTCCCTCACTTCTATCAGGAGATTCTAGGTGCAAGTACTTGACAAAGATCTATATTTTAGGTCGACACTCAGGGCTGTACCAAGGAAGTGCCCATCTTTTGGAGGAGACGTGAAACCAAGACCTGTCTGTCCGCTCAGGCAGAAGTAAAAGGTCCCACATCCGCTATCAAAGGAGGCCATTCTATGCTCCGGGCCAATATTTATTTTCAACCACTATCCCTAGAATACCGGTTCAACATCACATGGCTATTTGAAGGACATTATGTGTACACCAGGGACTGCAGTATTTCCTATGTTACAGCAGTAACCACACTTCCAAAATACCTGATTGCTGCGAAGCACTTTGGGATTATCATCATAGATTGGGCCCTCGCTGATAATAGTCTCTTATCCATGATTCCGATTTTTTTTTTTAAAAAACTCATTTGTGAGATGTGGTTTATCGCTTGCTGGCCAGCATTTATTGCCTTTCTCTAGTTGCTCTTCAGAAGGTGGTGATGAGCTGCTTTCTTGATCTGCTGCAGTCCACCTGCTGGGGGTTGACCCACAATGCCATTAGGGATGGGAATTCCAGGATTATGACTCAGCGAGAATGAAGGAGTGGCGATATATTTCCAAGTCAGGATGGTGAGTGGCTTGGAGGGAAACTTGAAGATGGTGGTGTTCCCATGTATCTGTTCTCCTTGTCCTTCTAGACGGAATTGGGTTTGGAAGGTGCTGTCTGAGGATCTTCCGCAGTGCATCTTGTAGATAGTACACACTGCTGCTCTTCAGTGTCGGTGGTAGAGAGAATGCATGTTTGTGGATGAAGTGCCAATCAAGCGGCTGCTTTGTACTGGATGGTGTCAAGCTTCTTGAGTGTTGTTGGGGCT